CATTTATTCCATGTCCAATGTTGGCTTTATATTGGGAAATATTGGCCAATGTACACCCAAGATAACCAATGTTTAGCCAACGTAAAGCCAATGCATTTTGCTACTAGGGTTTTTGCTCTATAAACTTCAGCTCTGTAGCTCTTTCTTCTTTGCATTCATTTTTGTTCTTTCTCTGTATTAATATTGTATAATAGCTTAAAGAGATAGAGGGTGTTACAAACCATCTTTATACAATATTTTTAATGATAAATTATTTAACGTCACCCCATTCGCTGGATTACAAAAGGCACCTAGTGATAATATAAGCTGAACACAGTTTAAATTTGAGTAAATTTCTTCTCAGCCGCTGGTTAGAAATTGCAAATGATGAGAAACGGAAAAGGATAGAGCCTTGTTACTTTGTAAAGCTTTCAAAGAGTATATCCAAAAGCGAACTTGAACTTCTAAATCGTTCAAACAATATAAGAATTATAGAGGATCAATTCATCAAACATGAATTGTTTATGTATATCAGCAATTTGAGAATTGAACCATCGGTAGTATTATGTTTCACTGACGACTATTCGCTTGATGAAAATACAGGTATATTACTTCGTTTACCACATAAATAAGTATTAATACTAATTTGTAGTTTTATAAAAGCACGTTCTAAATTTTATTGACATACAAATATGTAATAATTAGTGTGTGCGTGTGCGTGTACGTATAATAATTAAACTTAAGTAAACAGATGAATAACCAAGATTTCATGATACTAAAAAGTAAACATTTTACTTAAATGACCTTATGTTCGATAAACTATATTTTAGTATTAATTATTCTTTTGTTTATTTTTCTATTTAAATCAAAGTATAATATCATATATATAATCAATCTTTTTCTTCTTTTTAAGAAATCATAAAAGATGCATTACCATCCGAGTGCAAGTTCATAATTATATACGTTGATGATTTTTTTCTTGATATAATGCCAGGAATGGATAGGTTGAGTACAAATATAGTATGTATATTGTTTCCAAAAATCCCGAACGTGGCATTATATTTGGAAGTGCCACACATTATAAGAAAAAAAAAGAAAAAAATATACAAGTATGTAAATTATATACTTTTTGAACCGAAACCATCTGCGCCACATCAGGAGACATCTACATGTCTTATGTTATTTAGTGATAATTTGGTCGCTAAGGCGATAAACTTACGTTGTGGCTCAGCTATACGAGAAAGGTATAATTTATATTTACTAATCAATAATCCTAGTTTATTATTCCGATATGTCCAACTATTATATGTATAACAATGGCTAATACCTGAGAACAGACATTTATTTCTCTTTGTATGTATTATATGGATACAGCACCGTAAGTAAAATCGATTCTGTGTGGGGTGGAGTCCCGGAATCTGTACTACATTCGCCTCCTCATTACGCTGTCGAAATTACTGGTTCTATTAAAACGTGGTCCATCATTTTGAAGATTGAATCCGATACAACGATGGAGGAGGTGCAGACAAAATTACAGTCATTTAAAGACAAAGTGAAGTTAAAGAAACATTCCATAGGATTTATAAGTAAGCCTTATGACGTTAATGATGAGTCTACCACGCGTGAAAGAATAATTGCTGATGCTGCAGTAACTATGCTCAAAAGCTTATTTTCTCATATATTGTTACTTACTTACTGTTGTGGTTGGCAATATGGAAAAAATACTGTTGAAGAATTAAATGAAGAGAGTAAGTTATGTTTTTCTTTCCTTAATTAGTGCCATGAGAATATCATTTTCTGATATATCAATAAAGGTTTTCTGGTGTTTTAGAAAACGATGAAGATAATGCTAAAGCTTGTGCTAAACGTATTCAGCCTAAATTTTGGTGTCATGAGGACTCTGTTGTATTTATGATACTTAGCTACGGTTGATGTTTTGAGAGAAGATATGTGTTAGTACCGTGTGACACGAATACAGTTTATCACTCGTGCATTGTTAATTGTAGATGTGGCGTTCAACAATCTTTTTCTTTGAATATAAAATATGAAAGTAATTATGTCCCGATATTCACAGAACAAAAACATATAGAATAATGAATATCGTGGCAATAAATTCGCTTCGATAAGGATTATGCCTTATTGTTGAATATTGTTAAATATTGTTAAATACATAATCCGCGCGTTTTGTATCTGTCCTAAAATGATGTTACCTAAAAATAAGAAAACAAGTTATAAAGTAAAATATTTAACTGTATGTCAATTGAAATACTTAAATTATGATAATATATTTCGTTTATACTGCACGTTTTTATTTTTTTTGTTGCGTCCGTTACTTATTTTTCTGAAGCGCTTGTTGCGACTAAAGCGAATTATATCCAGCAAGTGGTTGGCCAATGAACGTACAGTGTTTAAAACACGCATATTAAAAATGTAATGCAAATAACAATCCACAATACTAAGTTGTTTTTCCACGTTTGTAACATTATTCATTAACGAATTTGTTTTGCGCCCATAAGGTCGTACGCCACTCGATATAAATTTACATCCTGCACCTGGAATGTATTTGTAATCTCCGCTTGATAGCACTTACGTGCTAGCGATGCAACGCGCAAGATAAAAAAAAGGGAAAATTAAGCCAAGCAAAAGGATATCAGTGTATTACTAGTAAAACTGAGTATTTAAAATGGAGTTTGTAGTACATTAAAGCACCAGCTATTATAAGTACTGCGACCAACGTTCGTGTTTTTAATGAGAGGTCCATATAATTTGCCGTCGATATTCCTTGCTTATAGCAAAATCAAATATCAGTAAAACTATAGTATCAAAATTAATTTTTGTTCTCGTTATACTCCGATATGCTGTGTACTCCGTGTATACGTGCAGTATATGTGTAACAAACATCTGTTAGACTTTGTTTTTATTATTATACATATAACTTTGTAGGTGCCCGCGATTGTCCTGCTTTCGCAACGAGTACCAAGGTGATTGGCGTGCTGTGATTGCTCAATTAAATTAGATTTATTGGAGAATTATATCGACAATAACTGGCACAATATATTTTGATTAGTACACGACGTTTCGGCCAGTAATACCGGTCCTTATCATCCCACACAGCACGGGGAACTCCCGGGGAGCTCTTAAAATTGGTCATAAGCTTCACTTGAACTTCAAACGAACTCGCACGGAGCTCCTATGTCCCCTTTTGAGAGCTCTCTGGGAGCTTTATTTAAGCTCGCAGGGAGTTTAAATGAGGCTCCCAGGGAGCTCTCAACTAGGTAGTACTAACTCGCTGGAAGCTTGTTTTATCGAATTTTGTAAGCTTCCCGGAAGCTCAGCGAAATGAACTTCCTAGGAGCTTAATCGGAGCTTTGTGCTGTGTGGGTATGTATACAGGGTGATAGGAAACAACCCTGGTCCTTGAAAAGATATAATCCTGACGAGATTCTGAGACGATTATTCCTTTTACAAAACTTTATCCAAAATCTAGTTTTTGAATTATAAAAGGTAATAGTTTTCTTATCACGAGTTGAATACAGGACGTAGGCAATAGCGACGCAATTTACTGCGTTATACGTGGTTGCTTATATTAGGTGGCTGTCAGTTGTCACGTCTGACGGTGAGTTGCGCCGCCACAGCCTGTTTTCTGCATTCAACCTGTGATAATAAGATAACTATTTCCTTCATAATTCAAAAACTATATTTCGGATAAAGTTTTGTAAAAGGAAAAATCATTTCAGAATCTAGTCAGGATTACGTCTTTTGAAGGACACAGGGTTGTTTCCAATCATCCTATATATGTATATGTAATAAATACACAGGGATGTATTATATTATAAAAAAAGGGTTGAACCTGTATGTTTTAGAATGATTTACGAGTTGCATGTGTTATAGCTATATCTTGTGAACTCAGAAAACCCGATTAACGTTGTATGTACGTAAAAAATATTTATACTGTATAATTGCAAGTTAATGTTTTTGTAATACAGTTGCAACATTATAAGAGTGATATTGCATTATATTGTATTTGCAGTGTAGCTGCAATATTGCAGATTTAATATTACGCAATATTGTGTTTGAAATATTGTTGCACCATTGCATTTGCAATATGCAATCTTGCAATGTTGCAGCAATACTGTTGCAGCTTTTGTGCTGTATGGGTTAATTTTTATAGAAATCAATGCGATATCTATCGGTTTGAATCGGGTATTTTCAGCAGGGAAATAGCTTCGTTACAATTATATCAAGGGCAACAGATATTGTTATATCAACTCTTTTAAAATTTCGAACAATATGAAATAGTATCTTTAATTTTATAAATTTAAGTAACCATTCTACTCACTTCAACATCATAATGATGAAGAAGCATATTTATAGCAAACAACATGCGCATGATTTGATTCAACAGCGGCAGTGATTTCCCACCACTTTCCACAAAACTTAATTTTAAGATAATCTCTGTTATGATACGTAACATTGTAACAGGTGTATCTGGTTTAATAAGTTGAAGCAGTAGGTTTACAACATCTTCTTCCATCATAGACGTTTTGCATGATGGATTGTATTGAATAAATAGTATCTATAATAAAGAAAAATACACATGATGCATTTAAATATTAGTATATGTGTGTACAAATATACATTACTTTTATTTTAATTACTTAAAAAATATTTTTAACAAATTTAAAAATCAAGAATATTTTAATCTTTTGATAAAAAACAATATGTATATCTTTTATCATTATAAGTGTAAATATATTTTCATAATTAGATGTCATACCTAAGAGCTTTAATACTTCTTCACATACATTCAGTTCATTTGAAAGTAACAAATGCAGCAAATATCGTCATTAAAATTACGTATTTGTCACGTCATTTCGACGTTGTCTTGTTAGCTGGGATATTCTTCGTACATTATACGAAGTATGTATAAAGCCTATCACACAATAGGAAAGCACAGGCAATAGGAACAAGGAATAACACAGGCAACAGAAATAACTAAATTCCAACTTACCAAAAACCGTGCATCGACGCACAATGGAATATGGAATAGGCAATTAAGGACGCACTTACTGATCTTTTGTCCTACTTGCGTGGAAAAGGGATCGCCTTTTGCAAAAGGTATCATTTCCTCGTGCAGGACTGACGTTGTTAACGGACGTAGTTTCCGTCGTTCGCACTCACTCGTATAAATATAGAAGAAAAAACGCACTTGGAGCCTTCCTTCCACACTTTTTCTTGAAAAATAACTCTCGCTCTCGAATACTCTCGATCTTCTCTCGATAGTCTCGATTCCTACTCCCCCCGAACGAGTTCGATACGCGCGCCAACTCCACCCGAAGTGCGGAAGGTGTAGGGCGACACGTGACCGTGTAACCTCGAATTCATGCGTGCAATCTCTAGTACATGATGGATGTTGTAAGATCGATTTTAGAAGACGACCAAGGAGAGGTGGATCTAAGTAAATCCACGAAGGTTCATAAGGATGTAGAGCTCGACATCGACTTGGGGACTCTACTCGCGTCCGACTATAACACTTTGGACGCGAAGACTCTCAAGTAACCTCCCTTGTGTACATGTCTGGTAGTTCTGTAAGGAAACCTTCCGGATTGCTCTGAAATATATTTTACGACACTCGCAGATCGAAACCAGATTCATATTTGAGAGACCTCACGAGAGACAATGTCCAGTTGCTGATCAATAAAGTCTGGGAGCTGCCAGTGGAACGGGTGGACGAAGCTATAGTGGCTACTTTGCCAAAGCCCGAGTACATATTGCCACGCTCGCGCGTGATTCCGAAGCCCAAGCCTCTGACCAAGTGGCAGCAATTTGCCAAAGAGAAGGGAATACAAAGCAAGAAGAAGGGTAAATCCAAACTCAAGTGGGACGAGGAGTTGAAGGCAAGATTTGTTCTCGAAACTGTTCTGTTATACTCAATTAAGTTACTACTAATAGTTTAATGAACTGAGAGCGTCTGTTAAAATCTTTCTTCTTTAGAAATGGATTCCAACGTACGGTTATAAGCGAGCGAAGGCTGAAGAACAGAAGGAATGGTTGGTGGAAGCCAAGGACAATGCCGACCCGACCGACAGTCCGTTTGCCAAAGCCAAAGCGGCTAAGCAGGAGAGGCAATCCAAAAACGAATTACAGAGGCTTCGCAATATAGCCAAATCGAAAAATATCAAGCTACCGAAGGTCGGTCTACCTACCAGAGAACATTTCCAGAGTTCTCAACAGCTTTCCGAAGCTCTGACTGTAGCCCGTGCGTCGACCGCGTCTGTTGGGAAATTTCAATCTAGGTGAGGCTCTTATAATTTGGATGTTGCAATTATAGCCGTCATAAAATGGTTGCTTTTACGAGAAAAAAAACGTTGCGATGTAAAATTTCGGTAGATTGCCGAAAGAGAAGGACGCAAAGGGAATTGCCAAGGAGATGACGGGAATGAAAAGGAAGAGGAAAGCGCCGCCGTTAAACGCTATAGAGGAGAAGCGTCAGAATAAAGGCCTGGTGGACAGCATTTTGAAGAGCAGTGCAAAGATCTTGCGCGACGATTGCTCGACGGGAATTGCAGAGTAAATGTTTACTTGCGCAGCTTTAATCCAGATGCATTACAGGTGTAACTTGATAATAACGCGATATTAATTTACGTGTGTTGCAGAATAAAGCAGTCTGCGACGAGCGGTGGTAAGAAGAGGAAAGGCGCACTGAAAAACAGCAAGAGTAAAACCGCTAAAAAGCCGAAGGCCGGAAAAGGCAAGCGAGATTTGCACAAGAAAATCGGCGGCAGAAAACGACGATAAATTGAGATGTAACAATATTCTTAATAAATCGAATTTTATGTATATATTTCAGATGCATTGAATTTTTTAAAGGTAAAGAGACTTTAATAAAATCGAAGATAACTGAGGGAGAATCACCAGCTTTCTGTAATCGTATTAAACTGAAATGAAAAAAGAACTTTGAATCGTTCCTAGAAATAGAATTCCTTAATGAAAACTGGATTCGCTGGAGAGCCACAAAACTGGAATTTCTTAACTATGAAAGTCATAACGACAGACTGAATCTATAAATCGGGGGGAAAAACAGACTAGTCTCTATTATCAAGAACAAAGTAATGTGGAGGAATAGTGAATGAAAGGATAATTAAATTCATATCGTGAACTTGGATAGAGATTTATCTACTTCACTTAGAATAGTAGCACATTGATCTGAATGGAGGCTAGTTTTGTAATCGCCTTTTCGCCAGTATTTTTCTCAGTTAAATCGAATAAGTGAATAACAAGGAAAAGCCACCTCGTCGCTAGCTATTGTCTGTCAACAGCTAGCCGAGTCGACGGTAATTCACTTTTATACACACACTATTATGTTTATAGAACGTGTCAATACTAAGCGTTAAGAAGAATGATTGATGTAGGTAGGATGTAGAATCATTCTATTCTTAATATTAATTTATGCGCAATAATGATGAAATTAATAACGTCAGTGAGTTTTATTGACGTGTCTGGCAATTAAAATTCTTATTGCGAAAAATATTACCCCGGCCAGGATTCGAACCTGGGACCTCCCTCAATCCGTGCGGGCGTCTTAGACAGCTCGACCACTGGGGCTGTAATAATACGTACTATTCGCAATAAGATGTATATTATTTAAGATGTTGTTTACGCGTCTATTTCGACTTTTCAGAAACTGTGCGTCGATACGGGTTGTCTACCGCACAGTGAACTGTCGATACGCGATTTTTTGAATTTCCCTTTCCCCTTCCCTCCCCCCAGGTTCGAATGCTGGCTGGGGTAATATTTTTCGCAATAAGAATTTTAATTGCCAGACACGGTCAATAAAACTCACTGACGTAGAATGTTATTAATTTGTAATTACTTCTGGCGACTATAAGAATATTCTTACTAATGATGAAATTATTTGCAACTCGTATCTTCTAAAAATATTACGAGACACTTACACGAACATTATCTTATTGCTCAAACATTCGCGCTGTATACTTCGCGCTTATTAGTTTATTAAATAAATTATTCAAATAATTTAACAAGGCAAGTGTGCGATCTCAATATTTACTCTGTCAGCCCAACAAAGCGTGTCTCTGTCGACAGGCACAGTCGGACCTTTAAACGAAGGGTGAAAATTATACTTCTTTAAATACCTTCCGCAAGCTCTCACCTGCTTTCCTCGAGGAACCGCCGAAACATCGAGGTTTTTGAGTAAGGGACACATTGGTATGTAACCGCACTTGCTCGTCGCTCGTGGATTCCCCGACGGATTTCCCGATTACACAAAAATAATGTGATATTTTACAATTTTATTATTTATTATATTTTTCAAGTAATTTCCTTTACAATGCACACAATAATATAAAAGAAACAATTACAATATAAAATTAAAAATATAACATCTATACAACACAATATTTCGCTCGACGTTACATATGAAATATTCGGTATGCACACAATAACATGAAATTCTTCATTGCATGTTTGGGATAAAAAATATCCCAAATGTATTTATTAACGATCTCTTAAAAGTAAATCAAATCTACAAAAATTGTAAGTAAGTTTAAAGTAAAAACTTAAACGCGCAACAACTTCTATCCTATTATATGCATCCGATTACAAATATAATTACATTTAATAGTAATTTGCAATAAACATTGCAGTTATAATTTTATCTATCTTTTTAATTAAGCAGTAATGTTCCCTGTCCCTGCAGCCTACCCGAATCCCTACCTACCCGTATTCCGCTGTATAGTCTTATTAATTTTCCTATCATTTTCCTACCTACGCGCGTTACACCTTTTTGTTAATAAACTTACGAGTCTTTCGTTAAAACCGCGACGCGATTTATAAAAGATTTGGAGTTATACGCGCGCGATTTAATAGGGGTCTTTTTAATCTTGCACATGTGCTAGAATAAATAAAGAAGGAAAGAATATAACCCACCCGAATTTTTGCACATAAGAAAAAATCAACATATATCGTACAACACATTCACATAATCCATCAAAGTGGCCAATATTGACCACTAACTCGGCGTATCCCTTCGTTGGGCCAGATTGGACATACCTTTCGTTGCTCCCGGCCATACAGTCTGGTCATTTTGACCAGAGATCAGGAAGGAAGAAAATTCCTTCCATAGTCGGTTTATCGTCACCGACAAATATTTCGTACGGTTCGAACTGTATGCGAGCGTCGATCGTATAAAAAAAATGCACGACCACGAGAAGTTAATTAAAGAAGAAAGTAAGAAAATTCTAAATATTTACTCTATAAAACTGATCAAATATATTTTGACATTCGTTATTTGTTCGAGAATAGGACTATCTCTTCGTGACTCGATCTTTGAATTCAAAATTCAAGTATAGATATGGAAACAAAATTTACTTCGCGTTATATATATTTTAAAATATTTGAATTATATTCCGCGGTGAATTAAAATTTATAATGTTAATAAAGTCAAACAATTAATAATTTCTTGAACTTTTTCCTGAAAAACGATCGCGAAAACCGACCGCGAAAACAACCGTAAAAATACGAAGATGCGTGCGACTGTGCATGTATTCATGCGAGACGCATCTTGAAAGTGTATCGCGGGGTGCACATACAAAATAAATGACGTGAGACCCAGAGGAAAGGGACTTTCCGTACGATAGGCCGACAATTGAATATTCCAGTTAATCAGTAATTTCAAATGATGTATGAAAATAATATTAAGTTTCAGCATTCTCGACAAAATATACTGTCTCACGTCATTATATAAATTTTTATATAAATTTGTTAATAAAAAATTGATAGAGTACAAGAGATTAGCTCGACGAATATATTAATAATGTTCGTCATATTTTGCATGAAAATTACGGGATACCCAATCCTTTGCAGTTAAAATCGCGATCACTCCCTTTCGTTAAAGTAAATGTATAAAAATAAATACGAAATTATGTTGTACTCTATCAATTTTGAGGCAACGGATCTACGAGATATACTAATTTATGTTCTACATTCTACGATCTACGAAATGTACTCTGGGAAAAAAAAGTCAGTTACAACCCATTTTGGAGCCCACAATTAGTAATCGAATTATTTAGATTGTTCGTAACTCTAATCTTTTACAAATTTTATCCCGCGTAACTAAAAATCACAATTAGCTGTTCTATCTATATCTAAGATATTAAAGTAATACTAATCAATTCTCTCAATTAGTTCTGTCGATATTCAGTAACGCAAAGATAATTTTCACAAGTGGCAATAACCGAAATGTTAAGTTGCTTAACTACATCAAAAAACGGTCAAAATTTTTCCCAGAGGATCTACGAAATATACTAATTTATCATCTACAATCTACGATCTACGAAATGTAGATTCGTTGCCTCGTTAAAAAATTATTGGACTTACCAACCGACGCGCAGCAGCGGAGTTTAACTACGATGACTCTGTAACAGAAAAATATAAGATTTCTATTAAAATAGCGTTCAAGAAAACTAAAAATAGTGCAAGATACAGTTCATATGCGTATAAAACTTTTTATTCGGTTAGATACGTTTATATGATTATTGCGCGAAAGTTGTTCGGTAAAAGCCGAGATTTTCACGAGAATAAACCTTTGTAAAATCGTCCTTTTAGGGCCAGTTTCACAAACGTCGGTTAGCTGCTAACCAAAGGTTAATTGATTCTCTGTCTCTTCTTAGATAACAAAATAGAAAAAGATAGGAAGTTGACTGAACTCTGGTTAACAGTTAACCGACGTTTGTGAAACTGACCCTAAGTATTATTTCGAATTTACGAAATTATGAACTGAAACGATGTAGAAAATTGCATGACGGCCGATGGCTGTCATGAAATTTTCTACATTGGTCGATCAATTTCTGGCGCTAAGTAATTCTTTACGCAATGAAACGACTCGATAATACACCGGAGAAAAGATGAATTTGGCACGAAATAAAAAATATCACTCACCATAAAGTTGCTCCGCCGGCGCCTGATGCCTTCCCCAGGCCACCTCGTCCTCTCAGATTATCCTCTCGACACTCGCGAGAACAGAAAAATCGTTCGCGCGATTTTACACTCCCGTTTACAAAGTCGATGTGAACGCGTATTCATTTTGTTTCCGTCAAGTTCGCCTCCACTTCGAGTCGGCGAGTTTTTTAGTGGAAAAACTGCCAAATCTCTAAAGTGTGGCCATCGATAGGAACGGACATTTCACAAATACTTGTTCAAATGGGCTTTGAAGAGTCTTTAATTCGATCGAGTAAAACGGCACTCCCGAATGCGACGAAAGCCCAAGCTTTGTATTATACGCGCACTTTGCACTAATAGTTCTTAGAGCGATTATTGCTTGGCGAGCGATCGAGGTATTATAATTTTTCGTTTATCATTTTACCCGACGATTCGCGTTACGTAGGCGTGGACGATCGAGATTCTCGTAGGGATTAGGCTCGTTTTCACCGAACGTCGTTCAACTTTAGTCTTAAAGCCAACGGCACACGATACTATAATTCTTCCTACTGGATTACTTACGAGAGCCAATCAGGATTTAGCTTTGAGTTACCTGATCAAGAACTCTGCATCCTGATTGGCTCTCGTGAGCGATCCAGTAGGAAAAATCGTATCGTGTGCCGTTGGCTCTAGTTTCATTCGCGTTTGTCTCTTTCTAAAGTAACAGGTGGAAGATGACAGAGAACGAGTCGAGCCGAGCCGAAAGCCTAACAACGTCGGTGATATCAGATCTCAATCGCGTTACGAGGAGCGACACGATACACGCGAAACACTTCCGCCGCGCTCGACTGTCGTGCGCCGAATGACTCGGTGCTATAAACTGTTTTTGTTCGAGGCGTTTGCCGCGCTACGTCATCAGATCGGAATGTAAATACGCGCTCGCCGCTCGCGCCGGGCGTTCCAGGAATTCGGGCTACGTCATTTTTCGGAAGCGAGGCTCGGTGACCGGGCTGTTTACGCCGAAACCAAAGTCACGGCGTACTCGCGATCATTCACGCGGCGACAGTCGTGCGTGGCGGGGGCGACCCGCGCCGCTCCGCATTGTATTATAATTCTTTCTCCGTTTGCGCGTCATCGTATCATATTCTTCCTCGTTCGCGCGTACGCGACGAGCACGGGAGAAGAAGCTGCGATCCCTCGCTGCGAATGTAGGCAGCGATCGAATCCTCACGCTTTGCCATCACCGTGGAAATTCAGTTTAAATGAAATTTTACCATTTCTCGACCTGAATCGACCGAGGCGTCTCGCGATATCTCGAAAGTCGAGGTACTCGAACGATACTCGCGAACGCGTGTGTGACATATTGACATACGTGTGCAGCTCGAGTCGGAGTCTCGTCGTTGAATCGAGTCTGACGGCATTCAGAGCGGCGCGAAGGGCGCGAAGGGCGGAACGATGCTCGATCGACGTTGAAGAGCGGTGCCGGGAGGTACCCGCGGTGGCAGGGAGCGACATTCGGGGAGAGTCAGCCCCGGGGACGGTGAGCGAGAACGGAGGTTGCAGGTTACCCGCTGCCCGCGTCATGGCACAGTCGACGGCGAGCGGCACGTCCTCGCGGCGGTACATGCGGGAGCACGAGGCGCCGTCCTCGTCGCGCTACGTGGACAGCGAGTGGGAGTCCAAAGAGGTGCGTCGCTCCGCGAGCCAAATCGCGTGTCGTATCGATCACGCCCTTTGCGCGACGCAAGTTCCACGTTATGTTTATATACTTTCGTTCGCGTCACGATTATGTCACAGACGGCATCGCGGGCGTCATTCGGTTCCACTGTATCACGCTTATTTATATTCCGCGAAAAGTAGCGGTAAATGTATCACAAGTGTCTCAGGGTGTCTCACTTTGCAGATGGATGAAGCTTCTTTGACAAGTGGAACCAAGTCAGCTACCGCCATAATGTCATTTATTCTGTTCTATAGGCTGACCAGAACATTATTCGACGCTCTGGGTGTATAATGTTTAGATTGATCAAGATTTAATTTTAATCTTGTTTAGTACACATGTATATGATGATGAACTGAAGGTTTTATTAGCCTGTGTTGATTGTAAGCAGCGTTTCTTAAGAGATTTCGTTGGCCGTAGTATTGGCCTTTTATCAGTTGCGTTGATTAGTTGCTATATGCCTTTTCCTCGTCAAACAGGCCTTACGACAGCGGGAGCTCGAGGAGGCGAGAGCGCGGGCGGCGCAAATGGAGAAGACGATGCGTTGGTGGTCCGACTGTACCGCCAACTGGCGCGAGAAGTGGAGCAAGGTGAGGAACGAGAGGAACGCGGCTAGGGACGAGGCGAAGGTTCTGAGGGCCAAGCTGGAGATCGCCGTCAAAGATGCCAACACGTTCAAGCACGAGTCGCAGGAATTGGAGCTGCAGAACGAGCAGCTGAAGAAGGAGATGGAAAAGATTCACATGATACTCTTGAAACACGCCGGGCAGTTTGACCAGCAGATCTTTACCATTCTGGAGTCGGATCCGCAGCTGCGAACTACCTTCGGGCTGGACGAGCAGCTGGAGTTTTACAACAGCATCGGGGCCGGCGACGCGTTAGTTGGGCAAAGGGACATGCTGCCTTGTAAAAATTCGCACGAGGTGTCGAGCGTTGCTGCGGCAGGCCACGGTATCCTGCCGGAGAGGGACATCGAGGAGTACGTCCTGCAAGGCGCCGTGCCGAAGCACGCGGTGGAACTGTACAAGGAAAGTCCCAGCAACTCGCTGGACAAAAGCATCACGAAACTAGTCGCGGATAGTAATGCCAAAAAGGACGGACTGGAGAAACAGTCGCCGCTAGACTGTGTGTACAACGACGAGTCCGCAATTCAGAAGATGTCGGCGTTGCAGATGAAGCTGGAGGAGGCGACCAAGGCTATTTCCATGGAAAGAGAGTAAGTCCAGCACGAATCAGTCGGTGCGCGAAGCTAACTGGTTAATTCATTTTTGTTTTTTTACTTCCGTTCTGTAAGGGAGAACAATTCTCTGCACCGGACTGTGGAAAAATTGAAAGCCGAGGTGAAGCAATTGAGGGAGCAGTGTGAGGAAATATCCGAGAGTAGAGGCGGCGCGATGAGAGAATTGTCAGAACTGAAAGAGCGTTTTCAACTCGAACTCAGCGACGAACATATAGCAGATTTAATGGACAGTACGAGTGATGGAGACAGCATGGACCGTCGATTGATGGAACTGAGGACAGAAGTAAGTTATTTACATTATACAAGTACTTGCAATCGTATTTTCTACCAAGAAATCGTTCAGAAATTCGTAAAAGCGTTGAAAGAGTTGTCAAGTTTAATCGCTTACTTCTATTCGTATTTTTATGCATGTGTTGTTATCGTGTTACATCACGGAGATGTTTTTACATCTTCATATTCCAAAATTTCAGTTGGAGAAACTTCAAGTCGAAAATGCAGCAGAGTGGAGTAAAAGGGAGAGACTGGAAACCGAGAAGAGTTCATTGGAACGTCAGAACAAATTGCTCCGCTTAAAATTACACGAGCTGCAGGAGAGAATAGAGTCGCGGCGACCACGGCCGGCGTCCACGGCCGACGCGGACACGAGACAATTGCAGCATGAAATTCTAGTTCGCAATATGGTTCGTTCGATAATCCCATCAAATGAATGAATTAAAATTACTCATTATTACCTCGCCACTCACGTGCGATTTGCAGGTATTACTCGAAGTAAAGCAGTACCAGGCAGCACTGAAACAGTCGCTGGCGGAGAAATCAACGGAGTTGTCGCACGCGACGAGACGGTCCGAGCAATACGAGGCGGAGGTGAAGCGAGTGAGAGCGAGGGTCGAGGAGTTGAAGAAAGAGCTGGCCACCGCCCAGGACGAGGCTGACGCTACTACGAACAACATGCGAAAATTGCAACGGGCCAACGAGGATCTTGTGGAGCAACTGGAATCTGCGAATGTACAACTGGAGCATTTTAGAAATAGGTAAGCAGAATAATCAATTGTTATATAGCTGCTCGTATTCATGAGCTTCTACAATTACACTTGAACAATATATGTTTTATTTCAGTAACAATGAGACGCGCGAAACTCTAGCGGACACTGAAGTAGACGAGGCTGGGAAGCAAAAGGTCCAAGCCAACAATTCCAGTGAATACACTGAAGGTACGTTACTAATATAGTCGTCGTTCTCGAATCGATAGAACAACAATTGAACGAAATTACAATCCACGATTGGCAACAAGCCTAGTATTCGCTCGTATCGATAGCGGTATGACTGTAAGTCAAATAGCGAAGATGCAAATCGGATAAGCGACCTTATAGTGGGCCTAAAGTACAGGGCAAGTATTTGACAACAGTTTGTTTACCTTTTCTCTCTTTAATCTCTGACTTGACGCGACTCCGGGCGAATTGTATGTGTCGAATAACTGTCATGAGCTATATGCGCCTGTTGTATTTAACGATGAACATGTCAATACTTCTAAAAGCATATATGTAAATATATGTTGCGTTTATATTATTTAATTATGTATCATAATCGATAGCGTACAATTTTACTTATCTATTGACCGATACGAATGATGGGTGTGAATATCTACAGCATTTGTTGTTCAGTAGTTACTCAATCGTGAGAGAGAGAGAGAGAGAGAGAGGAGAGAGAGAGAGAGAGAGAGAGAGAGAGAGAGAGAGAGAGAGAGAGAGATCGTGCCAGTTTTTATCATTGTTTCCTGTAAATAATCATTTCATCGTCGCTCATATTCGTTTTCTACTTTTGTAAATTATGAATACATGTATCCTTCCTCTTTTCATTTGTCATCAATGTGCATTTTGCGCACAGCCCACATTCCGTATTGTCTTTTTTGTACGTTTCTCTCTTGAAAATTCATGTAAAGATATTGTATGTATATATACATATATATATACATATTCACGAGATATATGTGTAATGAAACATTATGTTTCGTCATGTATTTTTCGTCTTGGAAAAGACTGGCGAAATCGAGTAGCGAGATACAGTATGTACAAGATACGATACCTGATATTTATAACTGAACATTTTATGTCAATACCGAAAAATCTATATGAATTGAAGCAATACTCTATCCGCATGTATATCCGCGGGTGCACCATGTCGCAGGTTGTACCGAGTTGTAGATAAAATCTAAAACTTTCATACAATACAATCACCTGTATGTCAAGTGGCGAAGATCGTTGTTAATTATATTTCTTAACCGACGAGAAGAAGGCGAGAAAAGATCTTTCTTCTAGTTAAAATGTATTTTATTGACAAAATTTAATAAATAGCAGCGATTGATGTAACAACATGTTCACCATGCTATACAGTCAATAATTGGAAGGTACCTCAATAAAGAAATTATAGCATTGAAGTACACACGTGATATTTGTGGCGTTTCAACTTTCAATCCTGTGGATTACCCGAAGGATTATAGTCTTCTATGTGCTGATCCATAGGAACGAAAGTTCTCTGTTGTATTCGTTTTACTTGTACATTTATTTTTACCCGTTGAAGGCTGCTAAAGAGGGAATGTGACACTCGAATGTACGACAGAGCGGGTTACGATGTCGACGCGCGCGAAAGCAATTAGTCAAATACGAACTAGTCTACGACCTAAGCGAGTCACGTAAATTCTACTGTACTATACAACGAAGAGAAAAGTGACTTAATGCAGGATGCGTTACAGAAGTAATTGCCGTTGCATCCCGTGTACATTTTGACGATTCAACACCTCATAGGCGTGCCATCGGGATACGTCGGCACTTTCGGCTTGCAGATTTTCGTCCTGCCGTTGGAACCGTACACGACGTTACAGGAGAAGGTGAAGTATCCGCAGGTGGAACTCTTGGTGTAATATCGATGCTCGTACTTGCGCGGTTCGTTGCTGCCGTTCATCTTGCCGGCGAAACTGTTGGTCACGGTGTAGTAGCTCGGCTTCGCCGCGATCGCCGGCGTGGGCCTCGTGTACTTATCGGAATAAACGTTTTGATTAACAGGAGATCCATGGCTCGTCGACGTCTGCCGGCCGATATAACGCCCGTGATTTGTCTGAAGCGACCTGGTCTCCGTGGGCGACGACCTGGTGTTATTCGAGTCCTTTGCTACCAAAGATACGGTCTGCGATTGAGACTTGCCGTCGCCTTGAGCAACGGTCTCGGTGCCGGAGGTCGACATTATTCGACCGCGGAATCCAGGCGGGATGGTGTATCCTGACACGGTTTGTCCCGGTTGCAGGGTGTCACCCGACCGCGGTGCGTTCGAGTCTTGGCTAACGTGGACGTTGTACTGATTCCCTTTGGCAACCTGTATCGTCTGTGACTGACCGCGGCTCTGCTGCTGAAAGGTCCTATCGGGCTTCTGATGACTCGCGCTCGGGCCCGGGAAAATTCCCGCGAACTTCTCCTTGATTGTCAACCTCGAATTCGTTGCCGTGGGATAGTCGTCTTCGTCCGCGTAGTCGTCGTCGTATTCGTCGTACGTCGAGTCGTCCGTGCGCGGCTTTTCGGTAGCTCGCACCTTCTTGTCGCCAGCGTCGTCCGGATTATTCTTGGAAGCCAGAACGACGGTCTGCCTCGAGGTCGAACTGCTTTGCAAACCTTGCTCGCGATCCTGCTTGTTTTCGTCCTGTCTGTTATCGTAATTCGAACTCGCCGACCGACCCGATTGTGCACTCGCGTCAACATTCGTCGGTCGCTTCAGAGGAGGGGCCGGTTTGATGAAGGGCTTGAAGAGTTCGGTGTCGGTGAAGTTGAAAGGCTTGCGCGAGGATGCGGCACCGGATCCGGAACCAGCCTGCGCTGCGCCGGTGTACGTGATCCCGTATTGAAAGGAACCTTGCAGCTGCGTCTGCGACTGACCCCGATGAGTGCCGCTCTGGGCCGACGCCGTTCCGCTGCCGCGAAACGGCGTCGTGTGCTTCTCCACCTTCTCATCGTCGCTCTTCAAGTACGGCTGGAAACCGATCTGCGCCTGACTGGAAGTGCTGCCTTCACCATTGGCCTGAGCATCCGCCATTCCACCCTTGGAGCTTGCTTGCACTTGTGAATTCGTACCATGGTTCCAGCCGCTGCTCTGAGCACCTGTCGAGGTAGCTCCGGAGTCGGAGTCCAATTGAACCTGCGTCTGACTCTTTCCGTAACCAGCGATGCCTTGCGCATTGCCAGTAGCTCCTTCTTTACCGCCATTGACCTCGGCTTGAGCGCTTTTATCGGCGTCGCTGGTGCCAGCCTGGGCCGAGAAAGTACCGGAACCGCTGTAGGTGCCTGTCACCTGTGACTGAGCTGTGCCCGACCCGTATTTACCCTGAGCAGAGGCGCTTGCTTGAGTACCCGAGTCCACCTGTTGTACGGAACTCGACGCCTGCGACTCGGTGCCGTCGTCCGCTGCACCTATTGGACCCCCTGGACCCACCGGTCTAGCTGGTCCGCCGGTTTGCGGATAGTATTGCGAAACGTCTCCGGTACCTGTAGTTCCAACTCCTGTCGTTCCCGGATAGAGCTGTCCTGGATATTGACCGCTATCTATTCCTGGGCCACTGATTCCACCTGGAAGTTGACCAGGATACTGTCCAGTGACACCTGTCCCTCCAATTGTTTGACTTCCTGTCGTGCCTATTGGATATTGAACGATACCAATGCCTGGATATTGTCCACCTGGATAAGTTGGCACTTGGCCGTTTGGATAGACCACTTGACCAGGATATAAGGTACCACCGGGAGAAGTAATTTGTTGCACACCGCCAGGATATGTACCTGGAATAACTCCAGGGTATGTAACACTTGGATACGTAACTTGAGTACCTGGTACGCTGCCCGGTCTTCCGGGAATTGTGCCAGGTTGAACAGTACCATCTGGGTAAACCACTTGACCATTCGTTGGTTGACCTGGAAGAATTATTACTTGTGTACCAGTGTCAGATGCTGACTCGGCACTCGTAATTGTACCAAAAACTTGATCTTCGTTTAGTAAAGTGCCTGATGGAATACCTTGAGGAGGGAATACAACAGTCTGCTGTCCAGGATAAACGCCTTGAGTTGTCGTTCCTCCTGGGACGACATTGCTAGGATATGTCCCGGCACTCGTTCCTGGAATATCAGGTCGGACACCACCAGGATAGACTCCAGTTCCAGGATGAGTTCCTGTGCCAGGAATCCCGGGATACGTTCCACTCGGTAAGCCTGTTCCAGGTATACTAACTGGGTAAGTTCCAACACCAGTGACAGTAGTGGCACCTGTTGTTACCGAAGTAGTTACGATACCACCAGGAGGATAAACACCTTGTCCCGGTTGGACTCCAGGCTGGACGCCGGGATATGTTCCAGGACGAACACCTCCGGG